CACGAGCAATACCATTATGCATTTTGCTTATTATCGAAAACAGCAAATCAAACCTCATCAAAATTAATCCTATCCAAAAGCAAACATAACCTAACTTAACCAAAAATCAAATCTAATATATCCAAACCTAATCTAACTTAATATAAAATAAAGAAACAGACAGACAGACAGACATCCCTAATAGACAGACAAACAAACAGGCGAAATAACAGTAGCGAGCCGTTGAAATCCCCTTCTGTGATGACCTAGAGGATGTTAAACCCGGGTTGCATTACGGAGATCACGTTACCAACTACATCTGGCTGGGAGAGGGGAGGGGGGGAAACAGGGCTATATTTTACTCAGTTGTTAGTGAGGCTGCCAGGCGTTGAGGGTCTGGTAACACTGTCTGCTGCTCGACGTCCGCTTTTATGATGAGTTGATTCGTTTTTTTTTTATATAAAATTTATTAAGTCTTTTCTACGGTTATTTTTTTATCACTTATGTTGATTTTCTTGTTTACATTCTATTCACAGACAAACAGAAACAACGACAGGCAAACAACGACACATGGAGACAGACAGACAGACAAACTGACAGATAGACAGACAGAGAGGTAGAAAGTTAAATGAAGCCAGACGAGAACGTAACGAAGTCATAATGAAAGAAGGGGGAGGGAGACGAGGACAGCTGATTCACCTAACAAACTGGGTAACGGGGTGAGGCAATTGGGAAGGGGAGGTGAGGGGAAGGTGGAGGAGAGGGAGTGGTAGGTGAGGGATGGAGGCGAGAGGGAATAAGGGCAGGGAAGAAGGTGAGTGGGAGTGGATGAGGGAGGGAGGGCGTTAAGGGAGTGAGTGTGGATAGTTAAAGGTGTGTGAGAGGGACTGTGGGAGAGGGTGTGTTGGTGGTGGTGGTGGTAGTGTGGGAGGGGGTGTGTTGGTGGTGGTGGTGTGGGGGGTGTGTTGGTGGTGGTGTGGTGGTAGTGTGGGAAGGGGTGTGTTGGTGGTGGTGGTGTAGTGTGGGAGAGGGGTGTTGGTGAGTGGTGGTAGTGTGGGAGAGGGGTGTGTTGGTGGTGGTAGTGTGGGAGGGGGTGTGTTGGTGGTGGTAGTGTGGGAGGGGTGTGTTGGTGGTGGTAGTGTGGGAGAGGGGTGTGTTGGTGGTGGTGGTGGCAGTACAGTAGGTGGACGGTGTGTGGTAATGGTGGTAATAACAATTAGAACGGAAGGGGGGGTAGGGGTGGCAGAAGCGGGTTCGTCATTTGCATATGTTTGCATGTAATGAATATCTGTTATGGCTCGCCTCCTCTCCACTGGCCAGTACACACACTCTACATTATAGTCCTTACCTTTATACTAACCCAACAGCAACCTGATATGATAATGTAATCGAGCAGATTTGCTTAACCTAATCTAATGTAATTTAACCAAACGTAATCTAATTTAACGTAATCTAACCTTACTTATCCTAATCTAACGTAGTATAATCTAATTTAACCTAATGTAATGTAGTCTTAACCTAACCCAATATGACATAGTTTACCCTGATTAACATAGCTTGGTCAATATTTAATCTGAATTATGAGTGTTGCTCCTGCCATCTATGAATGAGATTTGACACTATTAGTTAACTTCTATAATATCAATATTTCTTCGGATTTTTTTATTTTTTCGTGTATTTTATTGTTAATTATATATTTATTTATTTATTTAGTTGATTGTTATATAAATCAAGTATTAAATTAGGATTTTAGTTGATAATTTAATCGTTTGAATATTTGAGTGTCCATTCTGGGTAGTCACGCGGTGTTTCCCTCCAACACAGAACAGAAGCACCCAGGAACTCAACGCTGGAGGGATTATTAGCCATCATGGATCTCTCAGCCCTTATTTTCTACTCCTAGAAGGATTATTCACCATCACGCATCCTTCAGCAGTTATTTTCTACACCTCGATGACACACAGAGGTAAATAGCGTCTCCTTACGCCCAGGAAATTTTATTTTGGGTAATGATGTAGGAGACGGGTAGGGTAGCACAGGAGGTATAGTTTTATCGTTTCGGTCATCCAGCCGGTATTAGGACTTGAACTTACCACCGTCCGTGAGAGGTTTAGTTTAGGTTGCCAATCACTTCTCGAATAGTATTTGGTGTCACAAAGTAAAAAAAAAATGGAAAACGTAATTTAATCTGAGTTACTAGATCGCGTGCATGTACCGAGGGAGAGAATAACTACCCAAATGTAGCCGCAATGAAGTCAAATAATGGTCCTACATGAATAAATCGGACTGCCAATCACTTCTCGACTGGTATTTGGTTGTCACGGTCACAAAAAATTGGTAAACTTAATTTAATCTGAGTTAAAAGATCGAGTGCATGTACCTAATCTAACCTAACACAACTCAGATTAAATTAAGTTTACCAATTTTTTGTAACTTTATGACACCAAATAATAATCGAGAAGTGATTCACAGCCCGATTTACGCTTGTAGGACCATCATTTGACTTCATTCCGACTACATTTGGGTACATTGCTGATCTGGCCATGTTACTGTGACTTGCTGTGTTGTTGCTGTTATTATATATTATTGTTTTGCTGTGGTATTGCCGTGATGTTGTTGCGACCTGGCCAAGTTGTCATCATCACATGGATAAGGGAACTTCATCTCGTGCTACTGTCAATCGTGTTCCTGACCATTCTCATCTCCCGCCCACCACAAACAACAGCGGAAGCATTAAGACTCCCTAGATCAAGATACGGGGTAACACTATCTTCCCCCTACCCCTCTCCCAACCTTCCACCACCACCCCATACCGAGAACTTGGGGTCTAATCCTCCGAACAAGAGGTTGGGTAGTTCAAGGTGAAGATTGGATTGCACTGAAGGATTACTCTCGTGTTACAGGTGTGTGGGTTTCGTCGTCTATACAAGATGGTGGACATGAGGACGTTGATGATCACGTGAGTCGATGATGTTAATTTTTTGTTTAATTAGATCACCTGAAGATCAGCCCCTCCCCCCCCCGGTTTATTTCACCTGAAGGTTAATCACCTTAACTTAAATCTAACCTAACTTAACCTAACACCCTAACCAAACCTAACTTGTATTGTGTGTGTGTATTGTTTGTGTGTATGTATGTATGTATGTGTCTTGTGGTTGGCCAGGAGTGACTTACTGAAGGATACGAATACTTGCGCAACCACTGAATGACCTTGGCCGTATATATATATATATATATATATATATATATATATATATATATATATATATATATATATATATATATATATATAATTGTCGTTACTACTCCCGCTTTTCAGTTTTCTGTTACTTGCCGCACGAACTAGAATATTTTATTCTGCCTCCCTCTACTTGTGCTTAGATATAGATAGATGGAGGTCGATAGATAGAGTAGGTAGGTGGAGATAGAATGGATAGGTGAAGGTAGATAGATAGATAGACATTTAAATAGACACACACACACACACACACACACACACATGTTACGTTTATACATTACTACTATCTTCTCTCTCTTCTCTGATGCTAAAATCTTGAGGGTCTTTTGTATTTTTTTAGCCTGAGAAGGAAGTGTGTGTCACGCCCTTAGCAGCCTCCCTCCCTCCACCCACCCCCTCTTCCCTCCCTCCCTCCCTCCCTCCCTCCCTCCCTCCCTTATGACCTCCAGAATCTGAAACGACACTTTATACCTCCCCGTACGACCTCCAGTGAGCAATGTTATTGTTTTCCGTCCAAGAATCCATCCAATCTTTGAAATGGGTCACTTGTGTTGCGTGTTGTGGAGGAGTCAGCATATTGACCTTACAATTTTAGGTGTGGGAGGGATGGTGGTTGGTTGAGAGGGATGGTGGTTGGTTGAGAGGGATGGCTGTTGGTTGAGAGGGTTGGTGGTTAGTTGAGAGGGATGGTGGTTGGTTGAGGGATGGTGGTTGGTTGTAGAGGGATGGTGGTTGGTTGTAGGCCAGTAGGGAGACCTGTTGTGGGGAGAGATAGAAAGAGAGGGAAGGAGGGGGAGATAGTGAAGAAAGGAGGGAGAGAGAGGCAGAGATGGGGGGAGGAAAGCAGGAAGATAGAAGGATAGGGTAAGGGAAGGAGAGGTAACAGAGGGAAAGAGAGGAAGTCGGAGGGATAGAGAGAGAGAGAGAGAAACGTTTCTATATTTATTTTACCCATCACTTGAGGAGAAGAAAAGACGTGAATGATAAATAGAAACTCGTATCAGTCTTACCAATCCCATACGTCACAGGGAAAAAAGTATAAACGAAAGTAAACAAAGAAAAAAGTATAAACTACACAATAACAACGCCTCCCCCCAAAAAAAAAGACAGTCGCGAGGAGTGAGAGATTAGATCGTGTCCTGACCATCATACAGAATGTTATCTAATCCCTCTTCCTGTTATTTGAACCCACATTGTAGCATTACGGGCATTACGGACGATTTGATATCACGTACACCTGATCACGGACACATTCACGTCCCAGAGCCTCAAGAATCACGCCCAAGGTTGTCTCTTGTCGCCTCAGGTGTGTGAGATATACTGTAGATAAAGCGTCTGTCAGCCACCATCAACACCATCCCCCACATCCCCACAACCTCACACCTAACTGAACTCTCCATAACCATAAGTGTAACGGAGATACAAACAAACCAACCGGTACTACACAACACCTGGCCGGAGTTCGTGTTCATAATGACTGTGCGTTACTCCTAGTACTGTACACCTTTCACTCCTGTAATTTAAAACTTCCGCTCATAGATTATCCGTAAAAAGTTATTTTTTTTTATTGATAAAACAAAACAAAAAGTTTCAAAATTGTTACGAATAATAACTGTGGATTAACTAGTTTTTGTGAGCGTTTGTGAATGTTTTTTGTATATATATTTTTAAAGTAATGTTTATAGGTCACCCGTAAGTGTAAAGTTTTAAGAATACGAGATAGTGTTTGTGTGTGTCTGTATAAACATTGTTTTAGGCTTGTAAATAGTGTTTGTTTACTTACGGTGAGCCTGCGCATGCGTAAACACTCGGTAAAGTGACCGTCTCCTGGAGTGTGTGTCGGTCTGTCTGTCTGTTTACTTAGCCTCTACATTTACCTGTGGAATAAAGACAAAAATAATATTAAAATTCGTAATCATATAAATCATCAATATATAAACACACAATGTCCCAGACTTTTTTTTTTTACTGTCATACAAATTGTTCGTGGAAGGTGGCAACATTGTCCTCACTTATGCAGGGAGACCGTGCATCAAAAACTAAGAGGACAATGTTGCTGTAACAGAGGGACACAAATTGACGATGTTACTCTCTCTTTATTCCTGGTTATATTGACAGTAAAAATGTAAGCAAATAACAGGAAACGAGAGAGACGGAAAGAGAGGGGTCTTTTGTCAAGTGGTCTAAAGTAAGATTTAACTTTCGGTTGTAAAGTTAAGGTTGGGTTGTGTTTGGTTGTTGAGTTGTAATATATGAGTAGTGTTGGGGTAAGGAGTGTTGGGGGAGGGGATGTGTTGGGGGAGGGGATGTGTTGGAGAAAGAGGTGATGGGGAGGGGAGGTGCATGGGCAAAATCTCAAGGAAGAAAATCACACACACACACACACACACGGAGGAGGAAGGCTCTCAGTTATGTCTCCATTGTATTGATGTCTGGGTCACCTCATTACCACCCTCTCTCTCTTCCTTCCTCGCTCCCCAACCTTCAAGAACACACCTTCTATCTTTTTATCTTTTCCTTCCTTCCTTCCTTCCTATTTCTATCACCCTTTCTTTCCTGCTTCCTATCTTTAACACATCTATCTTTCTGTCTTTAACTTCCTTCCTTCCTCCTGTCTGTAATGTTCTTCCTTCCTATCTTTAACACCCTTCCTTCATCACCCTTCCTTCACTCCTCCTCTCTTCTTTAACATCCTTCCTTCCTATCTTCCCTTCTCTCTTCTCATCTTTAACGTCCTTTCTTCCTTCCTTCACCCTTCCTTCCTCCCTCCTCTCTTCCTATATTTATCACCCTTCCTTCACCCCTCCTCTCTTCCTATCCTCCTCTCTTCCTATTTTTACCCCACGTAAGGATAATAAATTTCTATTGAGGGACGACTCTCCTTTTAAAACATGTTATTGAAAGTTGCTTCCAGGGTTTTTTTTTCTTTTTGTGAATTGGTGAAAGGTGTTGGGTGATTATGGTGGTGGTAGTGGGGATGTTGGAGGTTGGTGGGGATGTTGGTGAAGGAGGTTGGTGGGGATGTTGGTGATGGAGGTTGGTGGGGATGTTGGTGATGGAGGTTGGTGGGGATGTTGGTGATGGAGGTTGGTGGGGATGTTGGTGAAGGAGGTTGGTGGGGATGTTGGTGATGGAGGTTGGTGGGGATGTTGGTGATGGAGGTTGGTGGGGATGTGGTTGTTGGAGGTTGGTGGGGATGTGGTTGTTGGAGGTTGGTGGGGATGTGGTTGTTGGTGGTGGTGTTGGAGGTGATGCTGGTGGCGATGATGACGTTACCATACGTAGAGGTTCATTTTCTTCCTTGTGGGAGAAGAATGGAGAAGTGAAGGGAGATAATGAGGAAGGAGTGAGGGAGAAGATAATAGCGGAGATGCTGCTATTGTTGGCGGGGAATATCTTGATCAGAAATCTATATTGTGGGGGGGGGGGATGTATACTGTGGGGGGAAAAATGTATACTGTGGGGGTGAAAATTTTTTAGAATATTATACTTTCACATTTTATTATAGATTAAAAAGGTAAACAGATGGTTGACGCTGCCTGTGCCACGTAATGGGGGATAATTACTTAAATCAACAACAACAGACCGTCGCCGCCTCTGTGGTCTGTATGTATGTTTAGTCATCCTCACCCGTAAACAGTCTAGTCATTGTGTTGTGTCTTGTGTTTCGTCTGGGGGCTTGTGTTGTGTCTAGTCTGGGGTTGTGTTTTGTGTCGGGGAAAAGTGTGTGTGTTAGGGAAAGTTCATATCTCGCATCAGTTTGTGTTGTGCTGTAAGAGAAAAAATGCTTGTGTCTTTTGCCTGGTCTTGTGTTGCGGCAGTTTAGTCTCGTGTTGCGGCAGTATAGTCTTGTGTTGCGGCAGTGTAGTCTTGTGTTACGGCAGTGTAGTCTCGTGTTGCGGCAGTATAGTCTCGTGTTGCGGCAGTGTAGTCTTGTGTTGCGGCAGTGTAGTCTCGTGTTGCGGCAGTATAGTCTAGTGTTACGGCAGTATGGACTGTGTCAGGGTTAGTATACATTTATCTGTCCGGATGCTGTTCACTATACCCCGCTCATATTTATGTTGGTATGCATTGTATACACTCAAACGTATGTATACTCTCTCTCTCTCTCTCTCTCTCTCTCTCTCTCTCTCTCTCTCTCTCTCTCTCTCGTTCGTTCGTTCGTTCGTTCAAGAGTTCCACGGGTAAACAAAATATCATTAAACGTACTTCACAAACGACATTGTTAGAGAGAGAGAGAATTAGATAGAAATATGAATTAATGAGATACAGAGTGAGAGAAATGAGAGAGATAGAGAAAAACAGAGAGAATGATAAATGAGGCATACATCCTGCGCCATTATAAGGGAGGGTCGCCCAGCACCATGGTTAAGGATATCAGTAGAAGGAAGGAAGGAAGGAGAGCGGGAAGGAAGGAGGACAAAAGAGAAAGGGAAGCAGTTCATGGATAAGGGTGAAATAGGAGGAGGTGGGAGGAAGGAGGAATGAAGGAAGTAGAGAGGGGAAGAAGGAGAGTGAAGGAAGTAGAGAGGGGAAGAAGGAGGAGAGCGAAAGGAAGTAGAGAGGGGAAGAAGGAGAGTGAAGGAAGTAGAGAGGGGAAGAAGGAGGAGAGGTCAGGTGAGTGTGTTTCCTGGAGTTGAGGACCTCAGCTGCAGGATGCTGATAAGAGGGAAGGAGGAGTCCTTCGAGATGGACAGCGAGATAAGGAGGAGATACGCAGGAGCTAGTGAAGGAGAGATAGATAGATGGAGAGGATAGATAGATAGATGGAGAGGATAGATAGATAGATGGAGATGATAGATAGATAGATGGAGAGGATAAATGAAGAGGATAGATAGATAGATGGAGAGGATAGATATAGATAGAGAGAGATACACGTATGTGGTTTCCTTATTTTCTTTCACTATTCCATTAAATCATTCTCTCTCTCTCTCTCTCTCTCTCTCTCTCTCTCTCTCTCTCTCTCCACCCAACACTCTGGACCAATAAGGATCCTCGGCTCATTATCGACGCTCGTGATTGGTGGAGATTACTGCCTTGTTGTGTCAGAGAACAATAATGGCGGTGCTGGGATAAATAGGGTGGTGGGTGGCGTGGTATGTGGGCGGGATAGGCGTGTGTGTGGGGCGGGATAGGTGGGTGTGGGGTGGTGGTATGTGGGTGGGATGGCATGTGGGCGGTATAGATGGGTGGGGGCGGTATGTGGGTGTGGGGTGGTGGTATGTGGATGGGACGGGTGATTCAGATGAATGAGATGTAGATTAACTGGGTGGAACAGGTGGAATGTGGGTGGGGTGGATGATAGATGGAACGCATTTGCTGTGGGTGGGTGGGATTGGTGTGATAAATATAGATAAACACAAAACAACTTTTATATTAAACCAACATAATATAAAATTTATATCACACGATCACTAATAAGAAAAAATCATCAGTAATTAATTATAAATGGTAAATTCACAAACTTACTTAATTATTTTTACAACAGGAGGATGTAATTAGTTGTGTGTGTGTGTGTGTGTGTTTGTATGTCTGGAAGCGAGGCGCAGCAACAGGTATGGTCTAGTGAATATCTGTCTGTCTTAATTAAGCGGGATACACCTGTAGTCTTTGTTTACATGGCATCAGCTGATTACTCATTTCAATAAGTGTTTTAAGTGTGTGTGTGAGGGGATGCTCTTAAGTACACTGTCACACCTTACCTGGCTTAAGTTAACCTAATTTAACTTGTTTTTCTAATATAAAGTCCTAAACTAACCTAACATGTAACTTAACTTAACCTAACCACAGCCATCCTAACCTCACCTCATTAGATTCGGTTGGTTCGTGGTTGATGGGTTTACTGTGTTCGTGGTACTTTTTAAACTTAGTACAACAATAGTGGGGATGAGGAGAGAGAGAGATGCATCCCTTTCCCCTCCCTCTTCCCCCCTTTCCTCCTCCCTCTTCCCCCCTTTCCCCTCCCTCTTCCCCCCTTTCCTCCTCCCTCTTCCCCTCCCCCCCTCTTGCCACAATGGAGGAGAGCAACCAAGGGTGGGAGGGAAAGTTTTTAAGAAGGAAGACTAGATTAAGCTGTTGTTATTATTCCTTCCCGTTTTTCTTGTTCGGGGGATGTAATCAACATATCGTTTTTTTTTTTATGGTGTGACGTCATCAACCTGTATTTGTTTATATGACGTCATGGAGTTGATAGTCTGTTTTCTCTCTGTTGGCATGACGTCAAATAATAACATTTCATTTTCTTCATAGAGATACAGGTAACGTTCCGGGCTACTTAAAAAATCGTTTTGGGCAACTTAAAAACGTCTCGTGCTACTTATAATGTTTCATGCTACTCAAAAACGTTCCTGGGTACTTGAAGGTGATCCATTACACACGAGAGGGGCAGGGAGGGAAAGGAAGGAAGGAAGGAGCAAGGGCGAGCAGGGAGGGAGGAAGAGGAAAGAAGAGAAGGAGAGCAAGGGCAGGCAGGAGGGAGAGGAAGGAAGGAAGGAAGGAGGCAGGCAGGCAGGGAGAGAAGGAGGGATAGAGAGGGGCAGGCAGAGGGAAGGAGAGTGAGGGACGACGGGGAGGGTGGAGAGGAGGCAAGGAAGCAGACAGGGAGAGGGAGGGAAGGAGGAGGGAGAGTAAACGGGGATGTCAGATGTATTTTTTTTTTTGGTAGCTTCGTTATTATGCCATTCATCTTGGCCCTGTTTATCCCTGGTGCAGCTGTGATGGTGTATGTATGGTGGTGCATGGTGTATGTATAGGGGTGGTGTTGTATGGGGCTGGTGGTGCTATATGGTGTGGTGGTATAATGGTGTTATGGGTGGTGTATGGTTGTGGTGCTATATGGTGTGGTGGTATAATGGTGTTATGGAGTGGTGTATGGTTG